CCCCCCCCCCCCCCAAATGAGTGACCCATAACGTGCCAAAAGAAAGAGCTGTCCTAGTGCTACAGTGTTACTTGTACAATACGTTTTAACGGCACGGCTAAGCATGGTTATAGCGTTCATGTAATTAAGAAGTTCAAGGAGACAAAGATATAGCCTTTTTCTTGAGATTGATTGCTTTTGTTTTCAAATTTGAGTCCAGAGCAAATCTTACACAGAATATCTTTTGTACTATTTGTTAAAGCAGTTTTTCTTTGTTTTTTTTTTAAGGAACTATACTCAGGGTTAGGGGAAATGTAACTCAGAAGGAAAAACTCTCCATTTACTGGTCTGCTCTGAACTCTTATTCTAGTTTTTAATGGAACTGCACCTGTTTAAGGGATAAATTTGACTGAAAACATTCGGCCTTTCGATGTGACATTCTGCAACGGGGGCCAAGGCCCACCAAGTAGAGGTATAAGCCCCCCTTGATGAAGGGGGCCACTAAGGTCATATCACTGATTGCCTGGGATAGAACAGGGTTGGGAGCGAAAGTCATAGGTTCAAACTGAGTGCACGAAGGGAGGAAAACAAGCAGAGTACACCAGCCGGCCCACTAGACCTCAAACAAGTCCAAGGAGCCAGTGGGCACTGCCCAGTGAAACTCTGCTGAAAGCTGTGAATGGATGAGGGACAGGAAAACAGCTCTGCAGTCCCTGGGAGTCCTCCTGGCCAGAGCCTCCATCCTGGCTAGGTATGTTGCCAGCTTTGCTAACTGAAGACATTAGGAGACTGATGGGATTCAAGTTCCATCATGGGCCATGAGACTGTTCAGGCTAGTGGTTGGACACTCCTGAGTTCTAATTGTGGCCTTAGCAAGATTTGCTGTATAGCCTCAGGCAAGTCACTTTATCCTTCTGCTTTGGTTTTCCCACCACTGAAATTGGCACATTATTTAAGTAGTCTTCTGGGGTTCTTGTGAAGATTAGCTAGGGTCTTTAAATTGTTTTCTAAACTTTAACTGCTGGTGCACTGATAAATTCTCCCTTTGGCAATGTCCAGATCCTCTGAGTGACCTGGTAAGTGCGGGAAACATGTAAGAGACTATTGCTTATTCCAGGAAAAGAGAGCCTGATTGAAAGTACAATGAAGTTGCTGTGTCTTTCTGTTGACTTCAGTGGACTTGGAATAAGGCCCTTAGCAATGAACTTGTCATGAAACTTACTGGTTTATATCCCTGGTAGGACATACACCTTGCAAAGACTTAGGCCTTTGCTTACTTTTACATGCTGTGTGGAGTTATACTTCTTGGAATGCAAAAATCAAGTTCATTCATAATTATTTTCAGGATTGTAATTAAGCGTGCCCTAATTGATGATAAATCCTTTTCTGAATCCTTCATTAGCTCTTGACCTCAGTAATATGTTGAAGCACCATGCTCAACAACTTAAATATAAGCCTTGTATGTAAAACACTATAATTAAAATGCAAAAAAAATGTATCTTTTAATTTGAGTGAGTCTTCTTGAATTTCTTGTACTTAAGGGCTATATCTGGGTTACCTTGCCTATCTATTTTGCTCAACTGCAGTTATCTTTTTTAAAAAGCCTTTTTTATGAAAATTAAAAATAGTTCTGACCTTTTTCCTATATTGCTTTGGAAACAAGTGTAATGTCACACATTTAAGACTTCAAGTGTTTATTATATGGTCGTCTTTGTCAATTTTTTCAGTATATATTTGTTTAAAGCTATAACATTGTTTAAAGTGAATGCGTTTGGTTGTCTTATGCAATAAGTTTTGCTTTGGGGTGTATATATATGTAGCATACTTTTATAACTAATATAAACTAGATATGTTTATAAATGCAGCTGCCAATAAATGTATCTCTCTTTTGGAACAGACTTATCTGAAGGGAAGAATAGAGGTGTTATGCTTAGTTGAGCCACCTACGTTTGTCTATAAATATATTGTGAAGTGGGCTACCCTTACCATTATTAAGAACTGTACTGTTAGTTTGTTTACTTTCATTATTTGAAAGCATAGCACATCTCTGCTGCCTTGTTATCTCAGAGAATAACTTGAATGTTACCTTGAACATGACTCCTAACAGTACCCAAACCCCCTGAGTGGAGTTGGTTAACTGGTATATAAAGCTTGGAGCTTGTGCCACTGAAGCATGAGGGCAGAAAGCACTGGGGACTTAACTAAAGATGGTTACAGTTTGTTTATTAAGTGGAAATATGATATATGCTGATCAAATTACTCTATTCTCAATTACTCTCTTTTCACTGAAACAACAGGTCAGCTTCTCCCTACCATGGTTTTACAATTGTAAATCGACTGAATATGCACAACCTGGTTGAACCAGTAAATAAGGACTTGGAATTTCAACTCCATGAACCTTTTCTTCTTTACAGAAATGCTAGCTGTGAGTATGGCTGGTTTTAAAATCTATAATTTTAGAAGTTCAGATTCTGTAATGTACCATGGCAGGGTTTGATAAAATGTCTGTGACTGTATTTTCCTGTAATCACTGCTTGTTTGAATACAGTTATGTAGGTGTCCACTACAGTTCAGTCACTGTCTATTTTAATAGTTTTTAACCTTTTTTACAAATGTAGGGTACTGTACATAGACTGAGATTTGTCCTATTATGAATCAACTTCGAGTTTCATATATAGTACATGATATGTGTGGTACTGAGTTGAGTCTTCCTATCCTGTATCTGTTTAAAAAATATGAGGATGCCATTTACTTTCAAATGTTGCCCCTAAAATGTCTAGAACTGGAGAATAATTGATGAATTCTTGACTTAAATGGAAAACAAATGGGACTCTGTTTTGTGACTTTATATCCTTGTTGCTTGCTTACTTGCTTGTTTGGTTTTGTTTAACTTTAATATTTTTCAAAAGGAAGCTTAGATTTTAATCATCTGCTCTGTCAAGAAGTTGCCACTTGGTGTGGGGAGAATATTGCTTGCCCTAAGGGAAGAACTTTCCCTAGGTTCATGTCTACATAAGTCTCTGCTCAATTTTGCTTCAACAGTTCAGCATTTTAACATGGTCATATTACATTAAGAACAGCACAGAATTTCCTTTTTCTGCTTTCTGAATCTAGTACTTAAGGTTATACTGTAGTAGCCCTAGAGGCATCCATCTATGTTCAGGACCCTATTATGTTATGCACAGTACGGGTGCACAGTTAGAAAGCCCTTCCTTACTTACTCAAAGGCATCACAGAAGTAATGGACCTCTAAAAACATAAGAGAAAAAGAAAATAGTGGATACTTCAAATTTGTATTAGGTTGAGTAGATGTATTGATGCAAAAGGAGCATCAGTAGGCTGGAGAGATTCTTCAGAATGATCATTTTGCTCTCTTTTGTTAGTTCTAAATCTGTGAAATCAGTCTGTCTTGTCACTGTGGGGAGAAAACTGTACTTCCTGCTTACTACCACCTGTGCAGCTGACTGATCTAGGAGCCGTTGTTATTTTGTTTCCTGCAGTAGCGGTACCTCTGTCCCCCAGCCTTTGCTATCCCATTCCATCTTCAGACATTGGAGGGATGAGAGCTGACAATACTCCATAGTAGGGGTGCACCAAATAAAAATTTTCTTGGTCGATAGGAATAGATGAAGACAACTAACCAACCACATCAGCTGATGCCAATCCTATAACTGATATTTAGCAACAGTGCAAGGCTTTTTAAACTACTGACATAAATAAACCTTTGTTTTGCATTTATATCTCGCACACGTACACACGCCTCCTGCCTTCTCTGACCTTATTCCCACACATCTCCCTCTCACCTGTGCTGCCATCCTGGGCTGGCAAGGCGAACCTTCGTGCAGACAATTGCACCAGGTCTGCTTTGGAGCCCTAGAGCACGCTACTACCTCAGTGCTGATGGGGCCTGCGCAACTGAGCTCCTTTGGCTGCTGCAGAGGAGCCACTTTTACAAAGGCACCTGGTGCCCAGTTGAGTGGAATGCCCTTGTGCTATGCCTTACTCTGTCCACACACAGCCCAGTGCCTACACAGCAGCCCCATCGCTCAGGCCTCTGCTGTGCATGTGGCATTGCCATGACAGTGGCAGCAGCATCAGGAACCAGTAACAGTCCTTTGTTGCTGAGGGGTCTTTGTAGCGGCTTACCGCTATAGCTGAGGAGTGCATCAGGAGCTTGGTGAACATCTGTTCACTAGGGCACCCCTGGGGAAGACCAGGACCAATAGATACAAACTTCTGGAAGGCCACTTCAGGCTTAATATCAGGAAAAACTCCTTCACAGTCTGGGTGTCCAGACTGTGGAATAAACTCCATTGAAAGGTGGTGCAGTCACCTACCCTGGAGGTTTTCAAGAGAAGACTAGACGGTCACCTTGCTGGGGTCACCTAACCCCAGTTGTCTTCCTTCCTAGAGCGGGGTGGCTGGACCCAATGATCTGCAAGGTCCCTTCCAGCCCCTTACAGTCTGTGAACTTTAAGAAAGGCAAATGCAGCTGGTATAGTTTTGAATATCAGATTTGGCTGATTTTTGTGGTTCATGGCAGCACTTCCTGGAGCACAGGCTTCAGCTTGTATTAAATCACTATACAGATATGGAAGTAGTGACTTGTGTTTTAAAGGACTGAAACAAAAAAAGAGGGTGGATTTCTCCTTCTTAACTAAACATGAGTATGTTTCCATTTCAGGTGCTCTAGGCTCAGTGTACTTAGAGTTTGAAGCTAAATCTTAGTGTGTGCTCAGTAAAGATTTCATTAGAAATGCTGCTGTTGTCAATGGAAAACTATGTTGTGTTCTTCAGAGAGAAGGTTGCTCATTTGGGGGAGAGAAATTACTACTTACGCTGTGTAAACACTGTGCATTGTTAACAGCCCAGTGCATATAGGCTGCTATTTTAGATATTTTGCACAAAGAATCCACTATCCTGGTTAATTAGGAGTTGTATGACTAAATTGTCCTGCTGAGACTTCTGAGCAACTACTTCCCTAACCCATGCAGTCTCAAGAAAACAACAATACAACGTGTCATGTTTTAATGGAGTACTGATGTTTAATAGAGAGGGATTACATAGTTACTCTTTCTCAGAAAAATGATTGGGCTGTATCTGAAGAGTACTTGCCATCAGACTAGGGAATTCAGTTTTAGAGGGAGATAATTTAATAACTCTAAACACTAAAGATTTTTCTTTGTGAAAGTGAAGCTCCTTCTAGTCCATTTTCTTGTCTTTATGGTAGTCTTTTCTTTATTTCCCATGATAGTCTTTTCTTTATTTCCCACTAAATGCAATGTTAGGAACAGATATGCTCTCAACAAGTTTGCCATCTCTCTCATGGTTACTGTTAAAAAAAATTCTTCTACAATTTCAGTCATTATTTTCAGTATTAAATTGGAGATAATCCTTTGTTAGTACAGGTTATAGAGCTATGGAATAATGTAGAGCTTGCATATGTATTCGTTTTCATGTATAGAGGAAAGCAGTTTAATGAGGATTTAATTGTTTTAAATAACATGAGGGAAAACTTTGTTCTCTTTCTATTCATAGATCTCTCTTCCCTACCTTTTTAACACCCACTGATTTGCAGAGATCAGTATTATTTTCTGTCCTTAATATTTGTAAAATTGCGTAGCTCAAAGAGGAGATATTCAGACATGCACTTTAAGTCAGTTATGTATGGTTGCTTGAAATTTAATAGATCTGCGTTTTTTTGGTACTCCTTGAAACCTGGCATGGCTTTAATTTCTATGTTCCCTTCCTTTTGGTGAATAGAGCTGTTCACTGAATTAGATAACGTTTTCATACAACAGGGACATCATTTAACCTAAAGAAGGATATTTCAAAGTATACGAGGGAGACGGCTCATTTTTGAAGGCCTAGTTAACCACTTTGAGGTCCTAGTTAACAACTTTGTGCAATGTAATGGGGGAAATCATTTACAGACTATTCTTTGTCACCTCTGAGTCACCTGGCTCAGAGGAGCTTATGTTCTTCAAAACCAACCCCTGAACCCCCAGCCCACATTATGGCTGCCAGTGCTGCTCTACAATTCTGATTGTAAGGAGTCTGTAGATTCACCTTGTTGTTTGTCCTGTTGTGAGGTGAGGACTCTACCTCATCATAGAATAAGGAAATAAGAGATGGTCAGTGAGGTTTTCTTATGGCTATCAGTAATACTTCTAGAATAGGGGTAGGCAGTCTTTCCTGACTGGAGGTTGGAATGACCCACCACAGTTCACAGGGAGGTTGGTGAGCGGGCATTAGGACCCTGGTGCTGCTGGTGCTCATTCTCTTGGCAGGCTAGGGAGAGTGTCCACTACTGAAGTTCCAAATCCATGGGCTAGAATCAGTGGCTCTGCAGGTCAGATATGGCTCACAGGCAATGAGTTATTGATCTCAGTTCTAGAACAAAACAGGAGCAACATAGGAAGAAGTAATGCAGATTTCTTCATTTTGGTCTACCACTCTGTCTTGGCCTGGAGAAATCCAAAACCCATTATATATCGGTTCGGTCCATTCAGCTTCTGCTGAAATGGCATGCATGTGAACTGAGTGACTACAAATTGCACTGTGAACCAATGAGACGTTAAATGTTGAATATCCCTCAGATGATGTGGTTTCTCCTCCCACCTGCTCCACAGCTAGAGGCTATTGTAAGAATGACTTACTTGTCATCTTACCTATTTTTAGTTTTATTTTGCTAGTCCGTACCTTTCCCATATAATTTGATTGGTAGGCATGTATTTTTTTCCTGCAGCATAAATGTTATGAGTACTTTCCTGTACATAACAACTCAGTAGGTCTTGTAACAAAAACTTAAGACACTAAGTGGTGCTTATCTGATTGTACCAATTATTTTAATATATTTTAGGATTGGACTAATAAGTTCACATTAAAACATTTTGCTTAGTAATTAGAATAGAAGGTCTGTTTCTTTAATGGTACAATTTGCAGTACTCTGCATGTATAAAAAGCACTTTCATTTAGTACAAACTTAAGGTTTTAACCACAATATTTTTTTTTCCTTGTGTGTACTGTAATGGGGAAGGATCAGGTAACCTAGGATTTTTTCATTTCACCTTCTCCTGGCTAACTTTTTTATTATTCAGGCTTTCAGTTTTCACTTTTACCTTTCTGTGAATGTGTGTTAATTTTAATGAATTTTCCTTTTCCTTTAGATTTCTTTATCTATTTTAATGCTTTAAACAGTTGTTCTATGAAACTCCATTATTTCTTTGCCTCTTCCCAGTTCAAAAGGGGAAAAAAGGAAAATAAATGAGAGAACTTCCCCCTCTTAAAATGAATCTCAGCAGTATCTGTAGATTTATAGTGCAGTACAGGGTGTCAATCAAAAGTACTTTAATCATTGGTGAAGTAAGTCACCTATGTCAGCTTCAAAATCTGTATGTGACGCTGCTCTAAAATTCTGCCTTT